GGGAGAGGGGATCACGGGGAGTGATTTCCCCCACTTTATTGCACGCGGGGGCGGCGGGATGCGGCGGATTTGGCGGCGGCTGCGGCGCTTGGTGCAGGCGGAGGGAGGACGGGGATGACGGGTGGGAGGACGGGGATGACGGGTGGGCCCCACCCGTCAGCGGGGGTGGCGGGCGGGCCCTCCCGTCAGCGGTGCGCGCGGGGAGAGGCCGAGTGGGCCGCGTGGAGAGGAGAGGGGGAGGGAGATGGGCCGAATTCGGCCCATTAGAGAGGAGGGATTTTAGGGTTTTTCTTTTTATAAAATCTTTTTAACTTTGTTTATTTCTTAACAATTATTATTTGTGCTCTGAAAATTCCACTAAAATTTATTTACATATTTTAGGCTTTTTAGGCCTTGTTTGACTTTTAACTTTACACATTTTAATTGTTGGAGGCTTTCACACGGTTTTTAATTATTCTAGACATAATTTAGAGGATGTATTTTAGAGTCGTTTTGGGACGTGACAGGTTGAGTATATAGTTGACCTGATTAAGGATCATAATCAAGGCAAGTGTCCTCCTTCCCTTTGAATATATTGAACCTCATGTTTTCGGCAAACATGTTGTTTTAAAAAATCTGCACATATTCGAACGATAGGAATGATTAGAATACCTTGTTTGTACTCAAATGGATCTACTTATCTTTTTATTTATACCAAATGCTTTTCCTTGCTTGATATGTTTATCATGGATATGGATCCTACTTATCCATGTTGTTTTGAACACATTTAAACTTATCTCCATAGATAAGACATGGAGAATTACCATAGTTGGCCTGGCAAGAAACTTGCAACTACTATGTGCACCACAGTTACACACCTACAAATATGCCACCAGACACGCTCAATTGACTGCAGCGCCTGCATCACTGATTTTCCCCCTTATTTTAGATTCAATACGGTACTTGGGCTTCGATCTTAATTCCTGCCTAGTCTAGCTAGCTGAACCACAGATATAGTATCTTGTCAATAATTATTATGTGCATGCATATCTCATGTTAATTAACTCTCTCTGGATCGATGCCTATTGTCACCTTTATATATATATATATATATATATATATATATATATATATATATATATATATATATATATATATATATTGCTGAACAGGGAGTACGTGGATGGACAAAAGAGCACACCATATGCATATCATATGCATGGCACGTAAGCCATGCGGACTGCATTCTCGGGATGGATGCATGGTTCAGAATGAACTTAAAAAACTCGTACGCATGATCCTTGGTGATTTGGTGGTATCTCCAATGTGTGAGAAGCCTATCAGAAGCCTACTCTCGGTGCGGAAATTAGCATTATATATAGTATGCTATTTTTTACAAGTTCAATTTTGATCAAAGTTTATTTTTTTCTCCTAGAATCACCAGTAGAGAAACGATTTTTCTGTGCGGTTAAAAGTGATTTTCGCGTGCGGATGTTCCAACCGTCTGGAACCAAGGGTCTGTAAAATTTTTGCGTCAGGGTGGCGCACCCGCATGCAAAAATCTAATTTTCGCGTGCGGAGTGATTATGTCGCCCGCAGGCAAAAATAAAAAACTGAAAAATATATAATCCAGAAAAGAAAGCCCCAACCCTAAAGCTGTCGTCGCCGCCTCCTCGCGGTCGCAGTCGCTGTCGCCGCTGCGGTAGCGGATCCGGAGCCTCCGCACTGTCCGGGCCGGTAACGGCCGCCGCCGCACGCACGAGCCGCCGAGCTCGCCGCTCCTGCCAGCTGTTCCCGCTTGCAGCCCCCGGGCGATGCCACGCGCATGCCGCCGAGGCCGCCGGATCCGGGCGGGGGACGGCCGCCGCCGCCAGAATCGGGTGAGGGGAAACTGCCTCCACTGGATCCGGGTAGGGAACGGTCGTCTGCCGCGCGCACGCGCCGCCGAGACGCCGCTCCCGGTTGCACACCGCCGCGCGCACGCGCCTTGGTGCCCGCCGCTCTCGGTCGCCGACGCACGCATGCCGCCGAGGCCGCCGCCAAGTGAGGCGGTGCAGCCGGCCGCCACCGGCCGTGCCCGTGCCGGCCGTGCCCAGGAGAGAAGAGAGAGGTGAGAGAGTGAGAAAGGATAGAGAGGTGAGAGAGTGAGAGAGAGAGTGTTGGTATTTCTTACGACCACAGATAAATCTGCAAGCACACGGAATACCGCTGTAGCACTTCACCTTCGGGTGACCCCAAAAGGATATCGAACTCAAGGAACGTGTGTAATCTATCTAAGGTTAAGACGATCCAAGGACAACAACTATAGGTAGGCAGGCTAGAGAGGACTTTCTCTATGCTTTAATTATCTACGCTAAGCAAGGTAATTCCCTATCTATTGCTTCGGGCACCGACCCCTGCTGGTCTGCCAGCGTGGTTCCGGCTATAGCTCTATGATGTATTCGAACCTGGTGGATTACTAGGACGGAATTCAGGACTATCACCACATGCCGCCTACCTTTGACAAATCCGTGGGATACACAACTAACAATGGTTATCTCTGACATAGACACCACGCCTAAGTTATTAATTACTACTCTAATACTAGCGAAGGAACTTCCTTCTCTATCCGGAGTCCTGGCACTAGAGCACTTAGTATAAATACTAAACAATGAACCTGCAAAGATGGAAATATAACTTACTTAGACTAAATAATTAAATAACAAAAGAAAGAAACACGAATGTTTACTTAATAGAAGAAGTTCTCTGAACCCGGAGCAGAGTGTACCGACAGCTCCGGTACTCCTCCCGAATTCCTCCTACGAAGCTACACTCGTCGACGTAGAAGTCGGATGAGCGCCAAACTTCCGGGCACTCCTCCAGAGCTTCCCATCACTCTCAATCATATTCTAATGTACAAAAGATACAATAGAGCCTCTTCTAATTTAGCTCAAAGTTGTGTGTCGGAAATGAGAGTGAACTACTCCTTATATAGGCAGGTATGACGGTTACAGCCTATGCGAAATGACCAAACTACCCTGGAACAGCCATCAGGAAGTAATCAGGGCCGTCCACACAAAATTTGGCGATCAACGGCCACCAAAAGGGTTCGGCCAAACTGGTAACCCGGGACGGCTCCGTTCGGCCCGTTTTTCCATCGTGGACACTAATTTTGAGGCCCTCAGCCCATTGGCATGGATAGTTGGGCCCGTTTGGAGTTGTTTAATTGACTTATGGGGCCTCCAATCCGTGTAAACGCGTCCTGAATGCGCGGAGGTGCATTTTGTCGCATGACGGATGTGTTTTCTCCTCAAAATACCTGCATACACATGTTTCACCAACACTAGTGGAAATGATTAGTAATAATACCTACCACTAAGTTGGATACCATATTTTATTTCATTATATGCAAGTATTGACGGTCAAATATTATGATTTTTGGATCGTCAACAACACCCCCACACTTAACCTTTGCTCGTCCCGAGTGAAGGCTAAGGACTCTACAACAGAGTTATAACTTCCTTACTAATAATCATGCAAACAAATTATTCAAAGCCATACATGTACTTGTGGGTCTTTGTAGTGTCTACCATGCGATCCTGAGCAATTGAGAAATGGAACAATCTTGACTCAAGTCACCCTAACTTTTCATGAAGAACAACTTGGGGTTTTTTTTCAAGTAACACAAAACTATAACTTTGCTTTACTCCCCCATTGATTCTCTCGATCACTCAAAGTGTATGATTCCTCACAAAGGCATATGATTGTGCCTTTTCTTTTCCTACCATCTAATAAGGCTTATGTGGAGCTAGGGTATGGAAAAGAGTAGAGCATTACTTGCATCCATGGAAAGACAAGACATACTTTCTGGTCAAGAATGTGCATGTGTATGTGTATGGTGAAGTTGTGGGTGGAAAAAGGAAAATAAAAATAACTCCTTTTGTTTACCTCCTCCTCCATTTATTTTTTTTCTTTTGAAACTTGGGAGAGTACATGGCTATCCTTTTTTTCTTTTATTTTTCTTTTTTTCTCGTTCTTTTTCACCATCATGCTCCATACTTCTATGAGCACTTTTTTTTTCTTTCTTTTTGCACAGCCATGCCTCTCTCTTTTTCTTTTTTTTTTCTTTGGAAGAACTTTGGAGGAAGTGGCATAAATGACATGGAGTATTTATTTTGTGGACTATAGATGAAATGAATGGTAAATGAGCAATGTTGACTTCCAATGTAGAAGTCAAGCATTTAAGTGTGTATGTGGAATGTGTGTGATCTTGACCATGAAAGTATGAAAAGCATTTCACTAGGGTCACAAAACTTGACAAGGCTCAATGTATTAATAAGTAGCGTATGTAGCGAGCTAATCATGAATGATCAACCTATGGCTCTAGTGGGAATAAAAATATCAATGAGGAGTTTAGCATCGTTATTTTTTTTCTTTTATAAGATTCCCAAGTGTGCAACATGAAGAGCAGGATTTCTTTCATCAGACTATATCTCAATCCTCAATTACCTAGATAGCATGGGGTGCCTATTGAATATGTCTCCACAAGCAGCAAGTAATGAGCAAAGAATAATAGGCATGCATGTTATTTTTAGGGAGGCCATGAACTCTAATTGTACCATCCCTAGCTTGAGTTTAATTATCTTCGATGTTTCAGAATTGGTAATCAAATTAAACTCAAGATAGAATGGATGTCCAAAGGAAAAATTGTGCAAACCTGCGCTCTGTATAACACAGAGGACGATTCATTGGTTCTGACTGTATCAATTTCCCTTGTGTGTTTCATCATGGCTCATCACTTCTGGGGTGATCTTGCTTTGGTTATGGCGTTGATGTGCAAGATCACCCCCACACTTGACTTTGTACATGGGGCTCTTTATTGGACACAAAAATGAAAAATAAAGACAAAAGTGAAGCAAAAAGGACTCACTTGGTTGGAAGACTAAGTAGCCAACTTTATTTTATTTTATTTTATCCATGAAAGCTAGACCTAAGATAACTACAGGGAGGCCAAAGGACTCGTGGCATTGAAAACTAACGGATCAAGTGGGAGCTAAAGACTCCGGGTAGAAGCTAAAAGAGACTAGATTCACAACATCTAAGTCACAATCAACTTCTAACGGATCAAGGAAAACTTTTAAACGATGACCATTTACCTTAAAGATGTTACCTTCGTTGTCGCACAGCGTGACGGCTCCTTGTGATGAAGCGTCGACGACAGTATATGGACCCATCCATTTACTTCGAAGTTTTCCATGTCCGAAAAGTTTCACCCGAGAATTGAACAGCAGCACCTTGTCCCCTGCTTTGAACTCCTTGTGCTTGATCCGCTTGTCATGCCATCTTTTGGTTCTATCCTTGTAGATCTTGGCATTGTGATAGGCCTTGTCCCTCCATTCTTCTAGCTCAGAGTGCTGCATCTTCCTGTGCTGTCCGGCTCCCGTTAAATCCATGTTCCAAGTCCGGATAGCCCAGTGCGCCCTGTGTTCCAACTCTACTGAAAAGTGACAAGTCTTCCCGTAGACAAGTTGGTATGGTGACATGCCGATGGGCGTCTTATAAGCAGTCCTATATGCCCAAAGTGCATCAGGTAGCTTGTTCTTCCATGCCTTCCCCATCTCATTGACAGTCTTCTGCAGAATGTTCTTGATTTGTTTGTTGCTTGTTTCTGCCTGTCCACTTGTTTGGGGATGATATGGAGTGGCAATGTTGTGCTGAGCCCCAAGTTCTTGCAAAAAGTTTCGGAAGGTCTTATCGATGAAATGAGACCCTAACATCCGGCGGGCGTGCTTGGCGTCTGCGGCCCTGCATGGCATTGCCTCTACCCACTTGGACACATAGTCAACGGCCACCAGGACATACTCGCAATCATAGGACTTTGGGAAAGGTCCCATGAAATTGATGCCCCATACATCAAATAACTCGACTTGAAGGTTGTATGTAAGTGGCATCGCTTCGCAAGCAGTGATTCCTCCATGCTTCTGGCAACTTGTGCATCTCCAAACGAATTCCTTTGTGTCATCGTACATTGTTGGCCAAAAGAATCCGCTCTGCCAGATCTTTGCGTGTGTTCTGAATGCTCCATAGTGACCTCCATATGGGGCAGCATGACACTTCTTAATGATCTTCATGCCTTTATCTACCGGAACGCATCTTCGTAGTAGACTGTCTGAACAGACTCTGTACAGGTAAGGTGCATCCCACAAGTGCCCGCGGCTCTTGTAGATCAACCTCTTCTTATTTTCTCCCGGGGGTAAATGCCCCGCGACCATGAAGTTGACGATGGTTGCATACCACGAGTCAGAGTCTATGACTTTCAACAGCATGTCGTCTCGCAGATAGTCATTTATCGGTAGCTCGTGCATGTTAGTGATTTGCATACGCGACAAATGATCTGCAATAGAATTCTCTACTCTCTTTTTATCCTTAATCTCTATGTCAAACTCTTGGAGCAGAAGAATCCACCTAATCAGCCGAAGTTTTGAATCTTTTTTAGCTCGAGCTTGGCTCGTCCTAGGCTCGATTTGAGCTCGGCCCGAGCACCAAACGAGCTGAACCCAAGCCTGAGCAAAAGCTTGCGAGCTTTACCGAGCCGAGCTCAAGCTTCTACCGAGCCTGGCCGAGCTTGACTGTGTATAGTTTATATTGCATGTTCACCTCTTTAATATAATAAACTAATAGATAAATATATATATATATATATGTGTGTGTGTATGTATCTATTTACACAATAAATTAGCATGTGTTAGCACAATATATTTATTTTAATCATTTTTTACTCTGTTATTAGTGTGATTAACTAGAAAATAATTATACTTATCAACAGATTATTATTAAAATATATATTATACTACTTATGGCCGAGCTCGAGCTCAAACCGAGCTTGCCTAAAAGCTCGAAGGTGCAATATGCTCGGCTCGAGCATGTGTCGAGCTCGAACTTGGGCAAATGAGCTCGCTCGAGCTCGGCTCATTGACAGCCCTAATCAGAATACAACAGTATTCAAACAATAGTTCATCTCAGGTTCAACCTAATACCAGAGTCTCAGATACTCTGCTTCCAGAATCAAACAATAGTTCCACAACAAGCAGCAAAATGTATGGTTCAATTAAAAGAATCTTACATCACCCATGGAATAATGCATAGCAAGTCCATGTTCAACCATATGCACTCCGTTAAGCCAAATATTCACCTGCAATGGGTCCATAAAGAACTCAATGGATTACGAAGAAAAGGTGAATGGGGATATCAAATATTTCAAAATCCAACTAAAAGGGAAAGCTGGACACCGACCAGCGTGACCAATAAGGTAAATAAAAGGAGGCAACAACATTAGGATGGAAGCCAACATGTACTTTTGGGGTTGCTACTGCCTAACATATTCATGGTAAGCAAATATATATTTGTCTAAATCCAACTCCAATGTTTCTAAGTGCACAATAACTATTTTTAGACGGAAGCAATACTGAAACATTTATAAAGTGTAATAGTACCATAATATCTATGATCACTATAACTATTACTCTATAAAAACATAACAAGTTGTATAAGAGCTGCTCATTTCTTTGAACTACAAGTTGTATCTGCATCAGAAGGAAATACATCATATAAGTTCCAGTATCAAATAACGTTCTAGCGATGCCTAGTATGTAACTTATCACGACTAATGGTATCATCTGAAAAATTAAAAGATGGGTCAAGGGCAGCAGCATACATGTAATGTACCAAAATAAGTAACAAAAAAATGGCACTTTTTTCATGAGTTCTATTAATATAAAGAAATATGGAGCAGAGAACTTCTAGTAATAGAGTTTAAGCATACTTAGAAACTGATCATCAGAATGTATGTGTGTTTTTGGACATTGGGCACTGCACCTTGTTGGAAAAACATAGTATTTTCCTGGAAGAAAAATCGCCATGCTGCAACTTTACATAGGTCTTTAATGCAGAAAAGCAAGACAACAGATTTAATCAAGGAATTGGCACATCAAGTCCAATACGTATTTGTGTAATATTTTTCCTTTAGAAGTTCAGCCTGTAACATTTACCCAAAGAACACACAAACAAAGGACTAATTAATTGTTGGAAGAAGAGTAGCAATTCCCCTTTAACATACATAAAGAAAGTTCCCCTTTTAGTTTTTCTTACTAAAAGGATAAACATACACAAAGAAAGTTCCCCTTTAAATCAAGAAAAGGTTTCGTTAAGATAGTTATGGAAACATATTCCCCTTTAGTCCATGTTTTCGCTTTCGGACAAGTAATCTACTCTTACGCCCAAGAAAGTTCACCTATGCTAACAAATTCCTTGTCCCTGTAGTAAATTTATTCATGGAATTCAGTTTGCTAATGTTTTTTTGCACTAGTTTAGTTAGAGTTATGTTTATAAGCGGTGCAGCCAGGTGGCAAATTAATTGTCAAAATTGCTAGAGCAATTAAAGTTGTCAATTGAATACTAGTTTTGTTCTGTTTTGCACTTAATATAGCTGATCACAGTTTAAAATGCCGCTGCACTTAACAATAGGTACAGATCTTGAACCCACAAAATCCATATAAAATGGTTTGGATTGTAGGTAAGCATAATGTTTGTATTTTGCTAATTATTCAGAACATTCATACCAAGATGCTAGTAAAATAACTCATTCAGTTAGCCAAAAGATTCAGGCACAATTTAGCACAGATTTCTACAAGCAAAAGAACTCCATCCAACTCATGCCTTCAGTAGAATAAAACTGTGCTCAGGATCAGCAAGGAGCTGTGTAAAAAAATGTAGAAAATCTAAGAGAAAAAGGAAATATAAACCTTCCTGTCCTCAGCAGTTGCGCTCCGGTGGAAGGGGCAGGTTGAACCCGCCACGGCGGTTCATCTACTGCCGTGGCTGCCGCTTGGTGACGACGCGCACCCCGCTAACATCGGCGTTGGGGACGTGCTTCCCCTTGGTGGAGTCGAAGCCGACGGGGATCCCCATCATCTTCATCATCTCCAGCTCCTCCACGTCCACGTCCCCTTCGCCCGCCGCGACCCCATCCCCGGCGGCACTCTTGGGCGGGACGAGGCCCGCCGCCGCCAGATCTGAGCAGGACGAGGCCCGCGTCGCCAACCACATGTCGACGTCGTCGGGGTTGCCGCCGCTGCCACCACCCGCGTTGTCGTCGTCGTCGGGGATGGAGCCGCCGCCGGATCCGCACGAGGGAGGGCCCCCTGGGGCCGGATCCGCGCCGCTCGGCCGTCGCTCGTCGCCCGCTCCCATCTGGCGCCGCTCGCTCCCAGCCGCGATCTGCCGCCACCCTCGCCTGGCCGCCATGCTGCCACCGAGCCCCCCGGCCGCCGTCGCTTGCCGCCGCTTGCTCCCGCCACCGAGCCGCCCGACCATTGCCCGACTGAGAGGAGAGAAAGGGAGAGATTGAGAGGAGAGGAAATGAAAAAAGAGAGGGTGTTAATATCTGTTGGGAGAGAGAGAGGAGGGGTGGTGAAAAAAATTTGAAGCAAGGAGGAGCGAAAGAGAAAGAGGAGGAAAATAATTATTAAAAATATTAATTTGATAATAAATGAACTTCGAGTTGAATTTTAAGATACTAAATGAACTTACGTGAAAAATTTCTTAAAAACAAAGTTATATAAATCATTGAGATCTATAACTTTTCTTTTGGACATTTCTCCATCCGAGTTTGATTGAACTATATAAAATTTGAATTTTAAAATATAAGAAATTCAAATATTTTTTCAGGTAGTAAATGAATTCAAATGAAAAAGTCATCAATAACAAAGTTGTATAGCTTATCAAGATCTACAACTTTTATATTGGTCAATTTTCTATATGATTTTGTTTGAACAGTTTGAATTTGAATTTCAAATTATGACAACTTCAAAACAAAATATGACTTTGTTTTGGTCATTTCTTTATTTGACAAAGTAATAGTAACACTGTTCACAAAATTTACATATCTCTATTATATATTATAAACTATATAAGAGATACGTATATTCTGTGAACAATGTTATAAATCGCTTCGTCAGATGAAGAGATGACACAAATAAAAGTTATAGATTTTGATGAGATATACGACTTTGTTATTGATGACTTTTTTAGTTGAAATCATTTAATATTTGAAAATGTTGTTTGAAGTTGTCATAATTTGAAATTCAAATTCAAATTATTGAAACAAAGTCATATAGCAAAATGACCAAAACAAAAGTTGTTGATATTGAAGAGTTATACAACTTTGTTGTCGATAACTTTTTCAATTGAAATTATTTAGTATTTAAAAATGTTATTTAAAGTTGTCATAATTTGAAATTCAAATTTTATATAGGTCAATCAAACTCAGATGGAGAAATAACCAAAACAAAATAGGTAGATCTCAATAAGTTATACACCATTGTTTTTGACAACTTTTTCACACAAGTTCATTTAGTATGATAAAACTCAATTCTAAGTTTTAATATTTTGAAATTAATTGAAATGATGGAGGCAAAATAGACTTCTCGGTGAGGGAGGAGCAAAAGGGCTGGCCCATAACAGGCCTTGTTTCATACCATCTATGTTTAACCTTTTTTTTCTTTTATTTTTTTTACCATTGTGAAGTAACACACAAAAATCGAGATCTACCAATTTTGTTTTGGTTATTTGTCCATCTGAGTTTGATTAGCCTATATAATATTTGAATTTCAAATTATGATAACTTCAAACAACATTTTCAAATACTACATGATTTCAACTCGAAAGGTCATCAACAACAAAGTTGTATAAATCATCAATATCTACAACTTTTATTTTGATCATTTTTCTATACGACTCTGTTTCAATAATTTGAATTGCAATTTCAAATTATGATAACTTCAAACAACATTTTCGAATACTAAATGATTTCAACTAAAAAAGTCATCAACAACAAAGTTGTATAAATCATCAATATCTACAACTTTTGTTTTGGTCATTTCGCTATATGATT